CCCAAACTCTCCCCTTTGAAGTCCCAGCAAACAAGTTTGAGCGAGTAAGCATGCTAAAGAGATAAAGAAAATAATGAAAACAGTGCAAAAGATAATAACCTGAACATAGGCTTCGGTATTTTGGCGACTAGTGCTACCACAAACATCCTGGCGAACATTATTTTCAGGCTTAGACATCCTGGACCTGTACAGAAGGTGTCGCTGCAGAAATTGATGGACACGACCGTAGCGGCAGCCGGCAGAGGGTGGCAATAATTTAAGATTGGAAGCTATTCGGAACTCAGTGAGGAAAAAGAAAACCTATTCCGAATCAGTGAGAAGAAAGAAAAAAATAAAAGTTACTTTTACCTATCGATGCTACGTTATACCCGTCGGCCGTCGATCATTAATTATATTTCATATATATACACAGAAATTATTTTCCTATTTTCTTTCTACTTCTTCCTCCTATTCCTAATTTTTCTTTCCACTAAAAAAACAAAAGACAGCCCGGTGCACTAAACACCCACTATGCGCGGGGTCCGGAGAACGGCCAGACCACAAAGGTTTTATTTACCTCAAAAACGGATAACAATTAAATTTGTAAGTGGTTTTAAGGATACGTGGATTAATTCGATACAAACGATAAATTGCGTTAGATTAAATAAATAAAGATATAGTAAATTCAAACCACGTGAGCAGGATAATTTCAGCCTTGATGAAATATCCACCCTCGATCTGGACTCACAATGGCCAGCACTGATGAACGAGAATAAGAGTTATGCATAACAGTAAAAATAATAGTATATTGCTTTGGGATGCGTGTTACAATGTGTTCAATAAATAATCAGACCCCCCTTTATATAGTAGGAAAATCTCACTCTAGGTACAATTCCATAAAAGGTAAAAATCTCTTGTTTAACTAATTATTGGATTCCCGTCGGTACGTACCGAGATCCGCGTCGTGATACCCGGTTGATCACGGATATTACGGCCTTCCGTTAATCGTGTTCGATTGTCCAATAATGCTCTCCGAAGTCTTTTGGGATTTGGTCTGATCTTAGGGTCATGGCCTCGATATACTCGAGGGCGGACGTCATGCCCCCGGTACCTGACTCGATGAGTCCCTTACCTCGATTCTGGTTCCTTGTCATTGCGTTCCTTACTCGATCTATTTTATCGGGAATCAGGCCGGTTTATGGGTCCGATTTCACCAGTATACAGATAGTCCCCTCGTTTCTCGGAGAGTAAGTTTTACGGAAACGACGAGGAACGACATGAGTTCTTCGATCTATCCTTTAACGCGCTGCGACACAAAACGACAAAGAAACCGAAACGTCCCGCCAGTCGCGTCATAATGACCCCTAACGCGTGTCAGCCATCGGCAGGTCGTGCCTGAATGTGAAACGGCACCAAGCCCCTATAAATACCCCTTCTTCGTTCATTTTTTACTTTTGACCAAGCTTCTACCTTCGATCCTTTAAGATATTACAGTCTTCTTTCATCCCTCAATATTCTTATCTTTGTTCTTCAAGTTACAACCTTTCTTTTACGACTTACTTAAGCAAGTGTGCTTGTTTTTATTAGCAAGTTCTCACCCCTCATCTCCTCATTCTCCTTCATAGTTTCAAACCCTTTTAACCAGATAAAAGAAATGGCAAAGACTTCCAAGACCATTCCCCAAAAAAATGCTCCTTCTTCTTCGCAGCCGACTACTGAGGTCGAGGAGACCGCCCCTGATATGGTCGTCCTCGAGAAGTCTGTTTCGGGCGCGGCCACTGATGAACCGGCAGCCGAGCCCTCCTTGAAAATGTTCATCCCCGGGGGGTGTTCGGTAAATGACGACTTCAAGGTTGAAAAGCCCTCTTCGGTTCAAGGCCGATGAGGCGGTGTCACAGTACATATGCTCTATTATCGAGGCCGTTCTTCCTGCAGTTTGAAAGGACTATGACTGGGCGGATAAGGATGTAGTGATTCCCGGGCCCAATGATGATATCACTACACATGTTGAAGGATATCTAAGTGTTTACACTTGTCCCTTTACATTGGGCCCGATCATCTTGGACTTTTGGAGAAAGTACGACGTATGCCTGAGCCAAATTCACCCATCATTGTGGAGGATCGTGATCATCTTCCGATTCTTTGTGAACAAAATCGATTCGTGCACATTCACCATCAATCATCTGCTCTGCTTATACAGTCCCCGAATCTTCCGGGGGGACTGATAAAGTTTGTACGTCGGGCCAACAAAGCCCTATTTTTAAGTACTGACGAGGACCGAGATCGGGGTTGGCAAGGATGCTTTGTCCGAGTGAGGACCGTCGACCTGATACCTGCTGAGTGGAGGTCGTTCCCCAAAAAATGGAACGTATCACGTAAGTATAACTCTTTTTAAATGTCGATTTTATGTGTTTATCTTCTCTTTTCTCATCGGTGTTTGTTGTGGTGCAACCATCGCTCGAGTTCCAAACGCCATTCCTCGGCTCAAGAAGTGGATCAGAGGCATTTGTTCACAGATACCTTATGCCGAGCGCTCGTGGTGCGAGCTTTCGAAGGGCCGCTGGGAGGCCCGATCTCACGGTAAGATTCCTTTCTCTGGATAAGTAGCCTTAAACCTTCTTTTTTTCATTACTATGTCTGCATTGCTTCTTTTCTCTATTTTTTGCAGGCTTGCCTAAGACCATATAGCTTAGGCCCTTGGTAGGGGGCAAGAACCTACCAGCCGATCCTCCTTCTTCGGGGCAGCCCGGAGCCACAGCCGGAGAGAAGAAAAGGAGGAGGGTCCCGAGTTCCCCGAGCTTGAAAGGAAAGAAACCAAGGAGAAGGTTGGCTCGTAAGCCAAAGGAAATATCAAGCTCCCGAGTGCCTGACTCGGACTTACTTTTTTGGCTTAAGGACGAGCCCGAGGAGGACAAAATTTTTGTGGCCCAAGAGCAATATGTCCCTGAGGAGCAGGTGGCAGCAGAGGGGGAAATGACGGAGGCTAATCCTCCTCAAGTGCATGAGGCTGGCGTAGGGGCGAGGGGCGAGACTCTTCAAGATGTCGGCTCTGCCCCGCCCTGTGTCATAGAGCGACGGATTCTATGTTTGATGAAGCTCGAGCAACGAAGGAGTGATCCAATGAAGGGGTTCATGGAGCGGACGATCCCTTTCGATACTTCTTTGATGGTGTGGACTCAACCGCCTCGGAAGATTTCACCGGGTTGGGCGATTTAGAAGTGCCGAGAAAAAGTCCATCCTTGGAGGTCGGTGGGTCGAACTTGAGCCCGAAGTTGATCAATCGATTCCCCACTCCGAGCACGGATCCTGGTCAGAAGTGATCTGTTGTTATCACCATTCCGGGGGATGCCCGGGTTCTTTTCGTCCCTGTAGGGATAGTTAGTTACCTCCAGTGACTGGTAACCGAAGAGGACCAGGCAAAAATGAACGAGGTGGATGCGCCGTGCTTGTTCAACGAAGCACAATAGGCGCTGAACCGAGTA